ATGAATTTTGTTAAATTGCACTGTACTTTCTTAAATATTGACGTTTTTAAAGATATAAGCTCATCCTGATGTTACACTCATCGAGACCTTTCATTTGAGTACCCACATTAATTTTTCATATATTTATATATATTATATATATGTATGTATGAAAAATATATCAAAATACATGTGGGTACTCAAATGAAAGCTATTGATGAGTGTAACATCGAGATGAGCTTATATGTTTAAAAACGTTAATATTTAAAATAGTACAGTGCAATTTAACAAAAGTCATTATTTAATAAAGCAAAATTTTATTTATTTGTAATTCACAAGTCACGGCAGTCACATAGTGACTGCAAGGTAGCTAGTAAATAATAATATAATTTTTCAAATATAATGGAAGTAATAATAAATTAAAAATCGCCCTTTAAAAAATTTTCAAACCTACTTTACAGCAATAATTATGAATGGTGAAAATTTAGTTTCACGTTCACTTTTTTTATAAAAAATTGAAAAATTAACATTTAAAATTTATTTCCAAATTCTATTTTACTGCAAATCTACAATAGTAATTATGAAAACTCATACAAATTTTTTGTTGATTGAAAATAAATAAATTTTTTAAATTATTTTTTCAAAAATTTCCTTTTATCCAAAACTTCTTATTAAAAAAAATTTTTATTATTTTATTTTTGATGGAATTTTTATGAATTGATGTATTATGGATCGTAAAACTAATCAATTACCTCCAAAAAAATAATTCCCCACTCCAATGACATCATTTCCTATTTTTATATTGATAAAAATATATAAACTACTTTTTTATGACACTAAATTAATAATCAATAATTTTTTTATTGTCGGATAACATTTTTCATTGTTCTGCGTCATAGAATCAACTGATAATCGCTTTATATCCTATGAAACAAAAATATCTTGCGGTTAACGATTCTGTTACCATTTTTTAATTTACTAGATTTATCAAAAGCTTTGACACCTGATTTTTATCTGACTTGCAAGCCCAGTTATTTGTATTCGCAGTTTAATCTCTAAAGGTTAAGCCTAAAAATAAAATTATAGTCGATGTTGAATTCGGCTACGTCAGAATTTAATTAACCAATTTCAAAATTTTTTTCAATCAATATAAATATAAAATCTAATAAAATAAAAACTTAATTTACTGAAGACAGTTAGTTTCAATTCCGGCGGTTAGATTTAATCGGGTAAAAATAAATTTGATAAATCATTTATCGTCCCTGTGAATAAAAAAAAATTTTTTTTAATTTATCTGGTATAATAGTATGATTTTTTAATTGAAAACGTCTGTACATAAATAGTAAATTTATATCCTATGAATAATTATAAAACCGACATCTGAGCAAACTTTAAATTAGTAGTTTATTAATTGGAGCAAACTTTATTTCAACTGTAACTGTACAATCTCGTTTATAAAATAGGTTAATGACATTTATCGATTATATATATATATATATATATATATATATATATATATATATATACATACAACAGA